CCACGCACCACGCCTGACTCACCACGCACCACGCCTGACTCACCAGGTATCTTATCAATACGTGTCAGTACTCATCCCGTTATGTGATTTTTTGTTTGTTTGTTGCAGCTCCCTCCGTCAACCCTGACCTGCAAGAGGAGGAGGAGGCGGAGCTTGTGGTGGTGATACGTCAGCTGGTGGCGGAGCGTTTCTCAAGTAACCCCGCCTACCAGCTGCTGAAGGCCCGCTTCCTGTCCAGCTTCACTGTCCCCGCCCTCCTGGCCACCGTGCAGCCAATCAGAGAGAAGGGCGTGACCGGACCAGCCAATGAGGAGGAGGAGGAGGAAAGGGAGGAGGAGCAGCTAAAGAAGATCGAAGAGAGAGCCAGACAGAGGAGAGCCGAGGTGAGTTCATTGGTGACATCACCAAAATACTGAGATGAAAATGTCTTCAATAAGATATTGTTACGACTGGCTCGGAAGTCGCAACATAAGGAGGGACACAACACCAAGTTATATTCAAAACCCAAAGGTGACAGTTTATTACAGGACACAGAACACAGAACATGCGTAATGTGCAAATCGAACAGAAGACCAGGGTCTGGTGCCGGGCAGATGAGAGAGAGCGAGGGCGGAGCAAGGAGGCACTTATGTAGGTGAAACCCACACCGTCATCCAGGCGCCCTGCCATCAGTCATCAGGGAGCTGCACCTAGAACTCAAAGACATCGAATACACACATATGCACACACACCCACGCACAACCATTCACAGCAGGACATAGAATTATACGTAACAATATGAAAGATGATGAAACAACTTGTATATTGTTTCCTCTCCAGAGGTCTTTGCTGCTGTGTGACGGGTCTGGAGCTCCAGCCAATCACTTCTCAGGAATCACCAGCGCACACACCTGAGACACCACACCTCTCTGTCCACTTAAACCACAGATACAAACGTTCACACGTTCATGATCCTCGTTACATGTGTTCAAGTTAAAAATAATGAGTTTACAAAAAGAAATACCGTTGTGAGCTCTGTGGTGCGTTCAGGAACCTCGTTCAGGTAAAAGTGGTAAAATTGCACTAAAATATCTTTGTCTCATTTTATTTTTTTATTCAGCGTCTGTAAAGAAAATGTTCTGTAATTATGAGCTGATTCATTTGTAATAAAGAGAAAAGTTTATGTAAAATGAAGCTGTGTGTGCTCCTATGTGTGTTAGTGAGGACCAGTTATTCTTACACCTGGTCTCTGGGGACCCTGTGGACTGTGAGGACACTGGACTGTGGGGACATTACATTACAGTCATTTAGCAGACGCTTTTATCCAAAGCGACTTACAATTCAGACCGTAGGCACAGCTACAGGATTTTTGGGGTTAGGTGTCTTGCTCAAGGACACATCGACATGCGACTAGCGGAGCCAGAGACGGAGATCAAACCGCAGATCAAACCGCAGATCCTCTGAAGGACGGCCCTGTACTCCACTTAGCCACAGTCGCCCCTGTGGATTGTGGGGACCCTGTGGATTGTGGGGACCCTGTGGATTTTGGGGACCCTGTGGACTGTGGGGACCCTGTGGACTGTGGGGACCCTGTGGATTGTGGGGACCCTGTGGTTTGTGGGGACCCTGTGGACTGTGGGGACCCTGTGGTTTGTGGGGACCCTGTGGACTGTGGGGACCCTGTGGACTGTGGGGACCCTGTGGTTTGTGGGGACCCTGTGGACTGTGGGGACCCTGTGGATTGTGGGGACCCTGTGGTTTATGGGGACCCTGTGGACTGTGGGGACCCTGTGGACTGTGGGGACCCTGTGGTTTGTGGGGACCCTGTGGACTGTGGGGACCCTGTGGACTGTGGGGACCCTGTGGACTGGGGACACTGTGTTGGTAAAACTCGTGACTTTCTTCTCTTCTTCATTGGTTTCACTTCAATTTAGTGAGACGTCCAGGAACCAGTGGTGTGACATCACTTCCTGTTTTCCTCCTCTGACTTCTCTAATCCTTCACTTCCTCTTTCTGTCCAGAAGAACTCAGCTGATATTTTAAACCTGTTTCAGTAATAAATGTATTCTTATTATTATTATTATTACATGAATGTGTTTATTCTGCTGGTAGTTTAATCTGTAATAATAATCATTGATTATTGATCATCATAATCTACAGATACACTAAACAATACTACCTGCTGGATATGTTAATGAGGTGTAGCTGTGACGTGATTGGTGGATTCAGATAAATGTCAGAGAGGGTGGAGCCAAAAACAGGAAGTGACAGAAACAATTTCTTAAAAAACACAGAAGAGAAAAGGACCCACAGAGAGAGAGAGAGACAGGTCCTATAGTTTAATCAGACAGACAGTTAAGGTGAGTAAACTCTGTGTGTAGTAGTAGTCAGTATGTACTGTGTGTATGTGTGTACAAATACTCGGTGTGTGTATTAATACTCAGTATGCACGTGAGTGTGTTTATATTAGTATTCTGAGTGTGTACTAACACTGAAGTGTGTATCAATTCTCAGTATGTGTGTATTAATTCTGTGTGTGTGCGTACTAGTACTCAGAGTGTGGACTAATACTCAGTGTGTGTACTAGTATTCACAGTGTTTACTAGTATTCACAGTGTGTACTAATACTCAGTGATGGACACCGTGTGTGAGGACGACCTCTGCTGGCTCCAGCTGGATGATTTCAGGATGTTACTCATCAAAACCATCGAACCTTCAAGAATCACTCCGTACCTCAGACAGTGTCAGGTACTCCTGCTCCTCCTCCTCCTCCTCCTCTTGCTCTTCTTCCTCCTCCTCCTGCTTCTCCTCCTCCTCCTCCCCTTGTTAAATCCTCCTGGTGTTGATTGGTTGTCTCTGATCAGGTGGTCAATGCTGAGGATGAGGAGCAGCTCTTTAACGACCCGACCCTCGTCATCAGGAGGAGAAAAGTTGGTAAGAAACAGATGAATGAATGGGAGGTCCTCTCCTGGTCCTCACCCTATCAGGTCCTCTTGAGTCTCCTGGTCCTGGTCCTATCATGTCCTCTCTGAGTCTCCTGGTCCTATCAGGTCCTCTTGAGTCTCCTGGTCCTATCAGGTCCTCTTGAGTCTCCTGATCCTATCAGGTCCTCTTGAGTCTCCTGGTCCTGGTCCTATCATGTCCTCTCTGAGTCTCCTGGTTCTATCATGTCCTCTCTCAGTCTCCTGGTCCTGGTCCTATCAGGTCCTCTTGTCTGTGTGTCCTAGGAGCCCTGCTGGACATCCTCCAGAGGACAGGGGTGAAAGGCTACACGGCCTTCCTGGAGAGCCTGGAGCTGGATTATCCTCAACTGTACAGTCGCATCACGGGGAAGGAGCCCAACAAGACCTTCAGCATCCTCATCGGTCTGTTCACCTGTCTGTGTGTACACCTGTCTGTCTGTACACCTGTCTGCTTACCTGTCTCTCTCTCTGCAGACACAGCAGGTGAATCCGGTCTGACTCAGTTCCTGATGTCGGAGCTCAGTCGCCTCCAGAGGGCGCTGCAGGACGAGAGGAGGCGTCGCCAGCAGGCCTGCTCCGTTGCTAAGGAACAGGTGGGCTGGTTGCTAAGGAAGAGTTAGAACCGTAGACCTCAGAGTTCTGCTGGGTTCTGCCGACAGGTGACTCTGTAACGGTTCCGTCTCAGGAGGTGTGGTCTCGACAGCAGCAGCTGAAGGACCGCGAGCTGAGGAAGCTGACTGAGCGCGTGCAGAAGGTTCGAGAGGAGCGAGAGCGTCTGAGCGATGAGGTGAGGCAGCTCCGAGACCACAACTACAGTCTGATGGCCGACGTCAACACTCTGGGACAAGAGAAGAGCAGCGCCCTGCTGGCCAACAGAGACCTGCAGATAGAGGTCAGCTCACCTCTAAACCCCCCCCGCCCATGGACCACTACACAGAGCTGCAGACTGCTCTGACCACTTCTACTCTTTGTGTGTGTGTGTGTGTGTGTGTGTGTGTGTGTGTGTGTGTGTGTCTGCAGGTGGAACGTCTGAAATACAACGTGCAGCGAGCTGAGAGTCAAAGTCGACTACTGAGACGACGAACACTAAGACCGCTGCAGGAGGTAAACCCTCACTTCAACTGCTTCCAGTGCTGACGCTTCTACTGACGCTTCTAGTAACGCTTCTATTGTTGCTTCTACTGACGCTTCAAGTAACGCTTCTACTGACGCTTCTATTGACGCTTCTACTGACGCCTCTATTGACGCTTCTACTGACGCTTCTACTGACGCTTCTAGTGACGCTTCTAGTGACGCTTCTACTGACACTTCTAGTGACGCTTCTACTGACGCTTCTCGTGATGCTTCTAGGTACACTTCTACTGGCACTTTTACTGGCGCTTCTACTGGCGCTTCTACTGTCGCTTCTACTGACAATTCTACTGACGCCTCTACTGACGCCTCTACTGACGCCTCTACTGACACTTCTACTGACGCTTCTACTGACGCTTCTACTGACACTTCTAGTGCCGCTTCTCGTGATGCTTCTAGTTACACTTCTACTGATGCTTCTAATGACTTTCTACTGACAGTTCTACTGACACTTCTACGACACTTCTAGTGCCGCTTCTCGTGATGCTTCTAGTTACACTTCTACTGATGATTCTACTGACACTTCTACTGACGATTCTACTGACGCTTCTACTGACGATTCTACTGACGCTTCTAGTTACACTTCTACTGACGATTCTACTGACGCTTCTACTGAGACTTCTACTGACGCTTCTACTGACGCTTCTAGTGACACTTCTTCTGACACTTCCACTGACACTTCCAGTAACGTTTCTACTGACACTTCTACTGACGCTTCTAATGACTTTCTACTGACACTTCTACGACACTTCTACTGACGCTTCTAATGACTTTCTAATGACACTTCTACGACGCTTCTACTGACGCTTCTACTGACGCTTCTACTGACACTTCTACGACACTTCTACGACACTTCTTGTGACGCTTCTCGTGATGCTTCTAGTTACACTTCTACTGACGATTCTGACTTTTACTGACGATTCTACTGACACTTTTACTGACTCTTTTTCTACCCCCCGAACAATGTCAGATGTCATGTTCTTCTTTATTTGTGAGGTCACTCTGATGTTTGATTAAAATGTTAAAATGTGTTTTCAGAGCAGGAGTCTGGCTCCGCCCACCGAGACCTTCTTCCACCCAAACAGAACGGAGCAGAAGGCGGAGAATCAGGGGGAGAAACAGGAGGAGAAGCAGAAGGAGAAAAAGGAGGAGAAGCAGAAGGCGACGCAGGAGAAGGAGGGTCCAGCTCCTCTTCAGCTGAACCTCCTCGATACAGTGTTAAGACTGAGGAGACAACTCCACAGAGCAGAGGAGCAGAGAGCCAGGGTGAGGAAGAGGGAAGAGGAGGAAGAGGAGAAGGAGGACGAGGAACTCACAGGGTTTTTTTGTTTTCAGAGTCTGGAGGAGAAGGAGGAACTGGAACTGCTGTTTGCTCAGCTGAAGGGAGACGTCAGGATGTACCGTCAACGAAACAAACAAACCCTCAGACAGCTGGAGGAGGTGATCAGAGAGAGAGACAAGGTGAGGAGGAGGTGATCAGAGGGAGAGACATGGTGAGGAGGAGGTGATCAGAGAGAGAGACGAGGAGAGGAGGAGGTGATCAGAGGGAGAGACGAG